TGGAACTACTGGACTTGGGAATCCAAGAGATGAATCGGAACAACTTGTAGTGGTAAGCCAAATCTATCATGTTAATCAGAATACTAAAGAGCACATCTTGTTCTCGTAGGAACCATCATCATTTCCATGTTGCATATAGCTATCAAAATATTAATAAAATGAGAGAAAAAAATGAAATATTATCATTATATATAATTTGTGTATCCAATACAACAACAACAACAACAACAATAATAAAACCTTTATCCCACTAAGTGGGGTCGGCTACATGAATCCTTTTTCTCCATTGCGTCCTACTTAGTGTAAATAATTTTAGATTCACATCATTTTGTTGAAAATAAAGAAAATTAGCTTCAATTAATTAAGTATTTGTCGAGATTTGCTAATCAAATTTGGGCATAGTTGTTTTTCTGCAAACTAACCAATGAATCATCTTACATATGATTGTCCTCCCAAAGACAATTATTTCTCATATCCACTATTAGTAGCTGGCAAAATTTGTATATATAAGATTGCTTGTTGAGCAATAGATATAATATTTACTGGTATTTTGCTAGATGTGAATTCACATGGAAATAGAAATAGAGATCTATGACATTGGAAGTAGTTTCCTGAAATAAAGTCAAATTAATAAATTGAAGTTTGGAATAAGATCGCACAGATGAAAAGTTACATTTTATCTTTTTCTTTAAGACCATCATCATTAGGAAATTCTTTTAATTATTGACTTAATTGCACTTTCTCATTAAGATTCTATTTACTGAAAACAAATCAAGTTTAGTTTGACTTGTTGAGATGATTAGAAGCTTCATCAAAAGTTAGATCATCACATTTGCTAATTGATTTATCCCTTGTAATTGGCATGATTTGTGAAAGTCGTGATCACTAATAAATTTAATTCCACAGAGAATCTTTGATTCAAATTTCTTTTACTGCTTAGTTTCAAATAAGATTATTTTTTTCAATTTCAATTTTAAATTTAATGTCTATATTTAGATTTATGGTTAATATTATGCTTAAATTTGATTTCTAGGTTAAAATTTTGTTTTTGTTTTGTTTTTTGTTTTAGTTTTAGTTTTAATTTTAGGAATAGACTTGATTTTGTTAGAGGCTCAATTTCATATGTGATTTTAGATTTAATGTCAAAAGCATTTTTGATTCAGATGTCTCCAATGTCCATAGTCAATTATATACTCAAGTTTCAACGCTTGTTTAAGTATGATTTTAATTTTATAATCATGGTCTAATATTTGTACATATTCATGTTCAACACAATCAAACTTAGAATGATATTGCAATTTCAAATCTTCTTCTGCATCTATCATTAGAAGATCAAATTCTGAGTTGCTACTTTATTCTTCAAGTTTGTTGTACTACTCATGTTTTTATTGAGAGATGAGAGTATCCTAGTCTTCAAGTTGGCCACATAAATTCTAGGAAAATCTTTATTTTAAATTCTTTGGATTGTTGGTATTTCACTCTTTTTTGTTTTTTCTGAGATCTTTTTTTACGATCTTGCCATCCACATTCCAAATGATAATTATAATTTTTTTTTTCTTTCGATTAGTTTATAAAAATTCATGATCTCAGATACTTTATTTGAATTTCATCCTTTTAATGTCTTTGGTAAGCTTATCAAATCATGTTGGGATTTTTCGAGCTCATAGAGCTTTTTTTCAACCTGCATGTATGGTTGGTATTACGACATTGATTAAAACACAATCATATAGGCTTCTTTTTCTAGGTTATTTTGGAGGAATGCCTTTTTTACATTCAATTGTTACAAGGATCAATTGAGGTTGGCTGAAAAATATAGAACTTTTCTCATAATGTTTTGCTTTGCAAATATTGTAAATGTTTTTGTTTAATCAACTACATAGGTTTTATTATAGCTTTGCTTATGCAAGCCAACTTGGCCTAGTTGTTTAGAGATTTCTCTTTCAATTAAGAGGTCCTGAGTTCAAGGCCTTGCATATACAGTGTGCGTGTGTACAAAAAAAATGTGTACTTTTTTTCTTTGATTTATAGCTTTATATGCTTCGAATGTCCCCTTATGCATTATATTTGTTAGTGGATACCTAAGTAAATTCAATTAGTTTTTTTTTATTTTAACATATCTAGTAGCTCCCATGTTTGGTTCGTTGAGGACTCTTATTTCTTTAATAATGGCTTATTTTCTTTTTTTATTCTGAAGTTCGTTAATAGTTTTGGAATATTAATAATAGTTATTTTGGTAAGAAATGTCGTGGGAGGAGGAAATATTATAAAATGAAATGAAGTTGGTAATTGAATGTTTTGTACATATTTGGGTTTCCTTTTCGTAATGCAATAAGAAGACGTAATGCGTTTGAATTTTGGAGATAGAGATCATACCCACGTTGCTTGTTGATTGATCTTTCTTGAATTCGGATGGTTGAGCATTTTTTGGTTCAGTTTTAGACTCTTTTTTCTTTCTTCTTGGGTATAATTTGTTGCAATGGCTTATGTTCATTTGTTAGGGCTTTGTTAGAGTTATTGTCTGAGGAGTCTGCTTTTTATTTGTAGAGAATTTTTGGGCTACTTGAGACTTCTTGGGTTGGTTAAGATCAGAGATGTCAAGGTAGATTTTATTGGGTGATTTTTCTTTTTAAAATTAGTATGGCAACAATTATGCTCTTTTTGAGTCAAGGAGTATCATAGGAATTTACATGTTATGGCTCTTGGATTGAGTTTATTTTTTTTATTGTGTTGATGGACATAAACATTATTGTCGAAAGATTTTAGTGGAAGCAATGGAGTTGTTTTGCTTAGAAAAAAATTGGAGAGGGTTTCAATAAATGTTTTTTTTATGTAAAATTCTATTTGGGAGGTGATTTATTAAGGGTAGTAGTTGCGGTATTCTCTGGAACATGGGGAGAATTTTACTGACATCAGATTTAATATTCATGAGAAAAATTATACATAGAAGTAACAAATTATTTAACTCTATTAATATTACTCATACAGGATAGTTCCAGACATCTACTGTGGGTTAGGAAAAAAAGGTATTGGGGTTTTTATGCTGTTTAAGAGGTAGCGAATTCTATGACGTCTGACCATTTGAAACGTCACATTTGAACACATCAACTTTTATCTTTTTTTTTTTTTTTGAATAATGTAAGAAATGGATTGTGATATGCTAAAAGATGGCTAACTTGTGTAAATGTTTTGAAGCCAATTTTGTGCTCTTCTGTGCAAAATTTCAGATGAATGAGATTGGGGTAGGTCATTATTACTACTTACGTTCAAATAGTAGAGCCCATCTTGTTCCTTAGCATGCACAATCATCTTCCTCATTTGATTTTGAAGTGCATAATGGGTAGAATAAATATTGCAATATAATTTAAGTGAGATGCTAGTTTTTCAGCGGATAATTCGTTCATGGATATTTTAGTATGCGGAGAACAAATGACAATGGAAGGGAATGTGCAAGTTTTATAGATTTTTCTCCGACAATAGTGGCAAGGGTTTCATCAGCTACGATTACTCTTTTGTTTCATTGGTTGCGGTATTGGAAAGATTTAGTCATGCATTACTATTGTTTTGATTTATTACAATAGTAACAAAATATAGCTTCCAGATTTTATTACTCTGGCGGGCTTGGTGTATGACCTGACTCTAATTACAGATACAGCTATATTTTCACCAACATATGGTGTTTCTAACACACGTCGTCTTTCTTCCTCACTTTTAATGATGGAAAAAATTTTATTTAGGTTTGATAGATACTTCCAATTATTTGAATGCATATTTGTTCGTATTCACTATTCAATTTTGCTAACAATTTATAAATTCGTTTTCTTCGTACACAAGTTTGTAGTTTTATAGCATCTTCACTTTATCTTATTTTGATAGACTAATAATAATTAAGCTCGAGTCATAGATCTCTTATTTTGTTAAAATATTTGGTAACCAATAAATAGTTTACGTCAATTTCTTAATCTGATAAACTAAGGCGGCATTATGCACCTTAGAATATGCGAGCTTCGTCGTGTCCCAGATATCTGTAGTTGCGGCTACGAACACATAGGTTTCGCTAATTTGTAATATAATTGAATTTTATAGGTAGCTTGTCTTCATCCGCCTGGTATGGGAACAATACGATGACCCAAATTTTTCCCTTTCTTTGAGAAACAAATCAGAGAGTGATTTTAACTCCTTGTAGTGGCCGACGTATTGCCGGTCATTTCGGCAACGATAGATTTTTCGCATTGCAATTCCACACATTTCCAAGCTAGTCTCTAAAACCGCCAACATCTTAGTAACAGAACCAAGATATATTGGGGAAATTTTAGCCATCTACAGCTTCAGATAAAGCCAAATGCTCTTATTTATCGCTTTCAACTTATTCTCTTTTTTCTTGGGTAAAAAAAAAAAGTCTACACTTCCTGCTTTTGTGTTTGATTCGAGTTGATAATTATATTGCTTTGCAGCTTAATGAGTTCAATAACGCTATACGTTTTGAATCTGCATGTTCTTTGATTGGTTCACTGTTAACATTAAAAAATGATCTTAATTTATTAGAATTTCATGAAAATATAACACTAAATAGGACACAATAGAGAAAAAGGATTCATGTAGCCGGCCCCACGCCGTGGAAAACTATTTACGTACGGACTATGCACGCAGTTCTGCGTGCATATAGAGGTTATTCGGGAGGTATTAAAGAGTTATGTCGGTGTTATTGGGGTTACCACCCCCAATAATCTGACAAAACTTCCGAATAACAGCAAAAAATATGTGCGCGGAACCGCAGATTGTATTTGCAGGTTATTGGGGGTATACTTCAATAACCTCTTAAAAACCCTCAATAACTAAGTTATTGGAAAGTTATTTTGTGGAATATGCACGTAGAAGTGCATGCATGTAGTGGGATAAAGGCTTTGTTGTTGTTGTTGGTTCGCTGTTAACATTCTTACAATTCTCGAGAGCTATTAGGACATTACTAACATCAACGATTTTTTTTCTGATATGCGCACCAGAATTGATAACTGGAAGCGGGAGCACATTCTACAGTTTCTGAAAGAGAAGGTGAAGGCTAGCTCGAAGGACAACTAAAATTTCTCCCTACCCTCCGACCAATTTGCCAAAATTGCAGGTTTCATCCAATCATTGTTAAATCTTGACTCTATTTTTTTTTATTTATTTTTTTTTTTTTTGCAAAGCACAAGGTATGCAATGCTTCTGTATCGAGTCTCAAATAAGGATGAACACTTCAGAAAGTGGCATTTATTTTGATAGATTTCTTGGAGGCTTTTAAAATTTATGAAGTACATTTATCTTGTTCAATCTTTTCTATTAAATGATTGTATGCTATAAATTTTGCTCAGAAATGTGTTTGGTTCTCTTGAATTTGAAAGTGTTTTAAAACAGCTGAACATTTTTCCTTAAAATATGTTTTTATTTTAAATTATGATAGAAATTAAGAAAAAACAAATAATAAAAGTGATCACAAACGTCTTAATATTTATTTATTTATTTATTTATTTATTTATTTTTGAAACCAACTCAAACTAATTAAATATGTTTGATTCGGTTCGATTTTTTAGGATTTGGCCAAATAATCCACACCCCTAATTATATACATAGACAAGGTAACCACTCAAATTATGTGAGATTTTTTATTTATTTTCAACTATGTATTTATGGAGGCAATCTATTGCAATTTATTTAAAATTTTTGTAGATCTTCAGTTAGCATTCTGAAGTTTGACATGGTAGAACAGTCTACAACATGGACTTGGAGATGCTAGCCCTTTTCATTGAGAAATGGTGTTTAGACTTGATTCAACCATGTGTTAACATTTTTTTCTAAAGTTAAAATATGTTCTAAGAAATCATATTTTCATTCTTTATCAATTTTTTATGGAATTTTTTAGGATGTTTATTGAGTTTAAATTAATCGCTATCTAAATACTTCTCATCAGAATAAACTATTCAAAATTAGGTATTTCTAGACCAAAACTAAGTCTCATATCATTGATTCAGAGATGTCCTTCAACAAGTGCTTCAACACACTTCTGGGGAAACCTTGGGTTCACGCACACTAGATGGTGCCTTCCTCCATCTATGCGTCAAGTACTAGAGATATAATATAGAATATTGAATTACGGGTAACATATAATCATTCTCAGTTTATGAAGTTGGAATTTATAAAGAAATAACATACAACGTACTGAAGAAACAAATAGTATTTTCCAAAAAAAATAAATGTAACTGAAAACTTTGAAAAGATAGAAAAGAAAAATGCCATAAAAGAAAAGTTGGAAAAAGAAATAGCAATAAATGGGAAAAAAATATTAAAAATGTCACAAAAGAAAATATTGAAAAAGAAATGACAGCAAAAGGCAAGGATGAAAAAAAGAAATATCATCATCATAAAAGACTAATATCAAGTGATGTTTCAACAGTCTTATACCTCTCCAACTTTACGAGCAGGTGTTAGAACCGTAAAAAGTTGTGGATTAATCCAGAATAAGAACTATATGATCATTATGAGAGCTTCTCCATGAAACTGAAGCATAAAACACTCGTCATGTATATCGACTTAGAGTCCAACTCGGAGGATGATTCATGCTTTATAGGTTGGTCTATCACCTCTATGAAAGCAGGAACACCATGGAAGATCTCTCTAGAAGAAGATGATGAAAAATGTAGAACTTTTATTCCAAGCTAAGACAAGCCTGAATCATAAATGTACAAGAGGATAACTGAGTATATCAATAACGCTAACCTCACTATCCTATGATATGGTGGTTATGTTGAAAGTTAAAGTAGCACCACAATTGAGTGGTTATCAGTATCAATATCTTTTAAAGGATCATTGTCTTCAAGTCATGAAAAGATGTGGAACTTGAGAATGAAATATGTAATGAATTAGTAGAACTTCATTTTAATTGGTACTCGCCTTGTGTTACTTGACATGATTTAATTTTACATAATCTTACCCATATTTTTTCTTACACTTTACATGTTATTTTTACCTATTTATCACAAATGTATGCTTGAGAAAGGTTTTTTTAATGTTGTGCAGGATGCAGGAGTTGAATACGAACAAATTAGAACAATAAAATCTAGCAAAGAAGTGGCTCGAAGTGGTGTGACCACGCTTGGCAGTGGCTTAACCACACCTGGAAGTGGCATGGCCAAGCCATCAATTGAGGAATTGCTGTGTGACAACGCCTACCATGGTAGAGGGGTGATGTGACCAAGCCACAATTGGGCGTGACCATGTTGTCCCCTTCAGCAACATGGCTTGACTGTGCCGACGAGTGGGAAAATACTTTAGGAAGAAAATTTGATGGCCCAAGCCAAGATTCTTGATATAAAAGTAATTTTTAGAGTTTCTTGAGGGGAGTTCTACATCAAGGAGTCATTGGAGACTGCTGAAGGCATGATTACGAGAGAATTTGGGTGGAATAAATGTAAAAAGTAGAGTTTAGGTGTTAGATGTATAAATATATAGGAATTTAGTATGTATGCAAATTCCTTTAAAATACAATAAGAAATTTTAATTAAATTGCAGTTTTGTTTTGTAAAATAAAAATTCAAACAAAAAAAATCCAAAAAATTGAATAATAAGATTTTAGAAATAAGAAATCACTATATATATATATTTATTTATTCATTTATTTATTTATTCATCATTGATTCAGAGATGTCCTTCAACAAGTGCTTCGACACACTTCTGGGGAGACCTTGGGTTCACGGACACTTAGATGGTGCCTTCATCTATGCGTCAAGTACTGGAGAGACAATATTGGGTTTGGCCAAATAATCCACACCCCTAATTATATGCATAGACAAGGTAACCACTCAAATTATGTGAGATTTTTTATTATCAAGTGATGTTTCAACACAAATAGTATTTTCCAAAAAAAATAAATGTAATTGAAAACTTTGAAAAGATATAAAAGAAAAATGGCATAAAAGAAAAGTTGGAAAAAATAAATGGGAAAAAAAATATTAAAAATGTCACAAAAGAAAATATTGAAAAAGAAATGACAGCAAAAGGCAAGGATGAAAAAAAGAAATATCATCATCATAAAAGACTAATATCAAGTGATGTTTCAACAGTCTTATACCTCTCCAACTTTACGAGTAGGTGTTAGAACCATAAAAAGTTGTGGATTAATCCAGAATAAGAACTATATGATCATTATGAGAGCTTCTCCATGAAACTGAAGCATAAAACACTCGCCATGTATATCGACTTAGAGTCCAACTCGGAGGATGATTCATGTTCTGTTGGTTGGTCTATCACCTCTATGAAAGCAGGAACACCATGGAAGATCTCTCTAGAAGAAGACGATGAAAAATGTAGAACTTTTATTCCAAGCTAAGACAAGCCTGAATCATCAATGTACGAGAGGATAACTGAGTATATCAATAACGCTAACCTCACTATCCTATGATATGGTGGTTAGGTTGAAAGTTAAAGTAGCACCACAATTGAGTAGTTATCAGTGTCAATGTATTTTAAAAAATCATTGTCTTTAAGTCTTGAAAAGATGTAGAACTTGAGAATGAAATCTCTAATGAATTAGTAGAACTTCATTTTAATTGGTACTCGCCTTGTGTTATTTGACATGATTTAATTTTACATAATCTTACCCATATTTTTCCTAACACTTTACATGTTATTTTTACCTATTTATCAAAGATGTAAGCTTGAGAAAGGTTTTTTTTTATGTTGTGCAGAATGTAGGATTTGAATACGAACAAATTAGAACAAGAAAATCTAGCAAAGAAGTGGCTCGAAGCGGTGTGACCACGCTTGGCAGTAGCTTAACCACACCTGGAAGTGGCATGGCCAAGCCATCAATCGAGGAATTCCTGTGTAACAATGCCTACCATGGTAGAGGGGCAATGTGACCATGCCACAATTGGGTGTGACCATGTCGTCCCCTTCAGCAACATGGCTTGACCGCATCGACGAGTGGGAAAACACTTTAGGAAGAAAATTTGATGGTCTAAGCCAAGATTCTTGACATAAAAGTGATTTTTAGAGATTCTTGAGGGGAGTTCTACATCAGGGAATCATTGGAGACTGTTGAAGGCATGATTTCGAGAGAATTTAAGAGCTTTCCTCAAGGTCATTTTCCTCCTTTGGTGAAAGCCTTGTAGGATGAGAGTTTCATTTGTTTTGTGAGTTGTGAGATTTGTATGAGAGGAGGGATCACTACAAGGGTGTATAAGACAAGTTATTGTATGTTTTGCATGTTTATGTTTCTTGCAATGAAATCCTGTATAGTTTCTCTTGTAATGGTTTTCTCGAAGACGTGGCTAAATTCATTCTTCATGCCTCTGTGATATAAGGGTAGTAGACTTAATCGTGATTTTTTTGTAATATTTTTTTGTTATCTTTTTTGTCGTGATTTTATGACCTATGTTGTTGGTTAACCTATGAACTTAATTTAATCATAGTCTGACCAACTATGATGTTAAAAGTTTCGTGAAGCTATGACCTTCAACGATTGTATAATGGAAATGAATGGTTAAACACATAATTTAAAGAGGATAGATATATTTTAGTGAAATTCTGCAATCATTTCAAGGCATTAGAATCTGTAAGGACAGAGAGTGAATCTCTCACATCTTCAATGGATGGTGTCAAATCAGAAATTGAGACCTTGTGAGATAATCGGGTCATCAAACAAGGTCATCTCATTGCTTTCAGACCATACCGAGACATAAGGGTAGAGGGAAAATTGTTGTATTCTAAATAGGCAGTGACTTAACAACATAATGGGGCTCACTACATGAAATTAATGAGGTTTCAAAGGAATGAATGGTTTCAACGAAGTTTACCAACATAAGGGTAAAGCAATACTAATCGGGTAGAGATAATAGAATAAGGATACCATAGATTTGTCATCCTAAGCTATTGCGACCCTAGGACTACCTGGTTGTGAAGGTAGTCAACCCAAATCGACCAGAGGTTTCTTGTTATCAATCCATGGATTACATCTTCCAAGGATACCTTGATAGCCCTAAAGCCTAAGGAACAAAACTTCTAAAATCCTATATCCCTCAATGGATCCATGGATTACATCTTCCAAGGATACCTTGATAGAGGAACAAAACTTCTAAAATCCTATATCCCTCAATGGTTGGAATTTATAATAAATGGGACTTATACCTGCCACCATAAATCGTGAGAAGCCTCTAGAAAGGAAAGGGATGTCCAAATTAGCAACTTGAAAACACTCTCACAAAGATCATACACCCTGTTTGGGTCACGTAGCCTCTAACATCTTAACCACATTCTAAACAAT